CTTTGTCACCTATGTCATCTGAGTGTCACCTGTGTCACCTCTATGTCACCTGTGTCACCTGTGTGTCACCTGTGTCACCTCTTTGTCACCTGTGTGTCACCTGAAGGGGGTCACCTGTGTGTCACCTGTGTCGTCTGTGTGTCACCTGTGTCACCTGTGGGGTTTCACCTGTGTCACCTCAGTGTCACCTCAGTGTCACGTGACCATCCCCGGGCTGGGGGGAGGGGCCCAGGTGCCCTTTTTGGGTGGTGAAAAGGGGAAATGGGGGCCGGTTTCCATGGCAACGGGGGATGGGACAGGGGTTGGTTTCCATGGTAACAGAGAGGGGTTGGTAGCCATGGCAACGGGGGCAGGGTGGGGTTGGTTTCCATGGTAACGGGGATGAAGGTAAGGGGGGGTCCCGTCTCCATGGCAACGGGGTTGGGTGGGGTCGGGTCGGTCTCCATGGCAACCGGGGGAGGGGGAGAGGAATCCTAACTCCCGTCTCCATGGCAACGGGCATGGAGGGGATGGGATGGGCTGTTGTCATGAAAACCGGGGTGGGGGGCGGAGTCACGTCTCCATGGCAACAGAGGGGGGTGTGTAAGGCCGGTTTCCATGGTGACAGAGGGGATGGATGGGGGTGATCCGTCTCCATGGCAACGGGGTTGGATGCGGTGGTCCATGGTGACCGCCATGAAGGGGATCCCATTTCCATGGCAACTGTGCTGGCTGATGCTGACGCTCCGTCTCCATGGCGACACGCAGGGAGGGGACTCCGCCCCGTCTCCATGGCAACGCGGGGCGGTTTCCATGGCGACGCGCTCCATCCTGGCACGTGGGGATGGGAGCGATCCCGTTGCCATGGCGACGCACCGGGGGGGGGGGGGGGGGGAGATGGTCCATCCCCATGGCAACGCGGGGGCGGGGCCGTCTCCATGGCAACGCGCATGCGCGCCCTCCCCCGCCCCCGCCCGATGACATCACCCCGCCGCGGCCCCGCCCCCCGCGCGCTCCCATTGGCCGCTCGCTCTCCGGTCACGCCCCTCCCTCCCACCCGCCGAGGGGGCGGGGCCAGCGCGCCGCCGGCGCCCCGGGACGCGCTCCCATTGGTCGGCGGAGCCGTCAATCAGCGCCGCTCTTAAAGGGCCCGCGCAGCGTTTTGCGGGGCCGGCCCGGGGGGGGGTCGGTACCCGGGGGGGGGGCGGGCGGCGGCCGCGGGGCTCGGGCGGGCCCGGGGCGCTCTGGGGGCCTGAACGGGAGCGGGGGCGACCGGCAGCGACCCCCCCCCCCCCCCCGCCGGGGCCCCCCCTCCCCGCCGGGCCGCCTCCCTCCCTCCCTCCGCCGGAGCTGCCGCAGCGCCGCTCGGAGCCCAGGTAGGAGCAGGGCCCGGGAGCCCCCGGGACCCCCGGAACCGACCCCCGGAACCACCTCCGGCCGGCAAAGCCCCGATATCCCAAACCCGCATCCCCGATCCCGAATCCGCATCCCCGATCCCGAATCCGCACCCCCGATATCCCAAACCCGCATCCCCGATCCCGAATCCGCATCCCCGATCCCCAATCCGCATCCCCAATATCCCAAATCCGCATCCCCGATCCGGCATCGCCATCCCGACCCCATCCCGGCCCCGGCAGCCGCATCCCCAATCCGGCATCGCCATCCCGAATCCGGCATCCGCATCCCGAATCCGGCATCCGCATCCCGATCCCATCCCGGCCCCGGCAGCCGCATCCCGAATCCCAAATCTGCATCCCCAAACCCGGCACCGCCATCCCAATTCCGGCATCCGCATCCCGAATCCCAAATCCGCATCCCGATCGCATCCCGGCCCCGGCAGCCAAATCCCGAATCCAGCATCGCCATCCCGATCCCCATCCCGGCCCTGGCAGCCGCATCCCGATCCTATCGCTGCCTCGGCATCCGCATGCCGGATCCCAAATCCGCATCCCAGATCCGGCATCCACGTCCTGCGAATCCGCATCCCAAATCCGGCATCCACGTCCTGCATGCCCATCCCGAATCCCCGGGCCCGGCCCCGCCGGCCCCATCCCCATCCCCGTCCCCATCCCCGTCCCCATCCCCGTCCCTGTTCCCGTCTCCATCCCCATCCCATCCCCATCCCATCCCCATCCCCATCCCCATCCCCGTCCCCGTTCCCGTCTCCATCCCCGTCCCCATCCCATCCCCATCCCATCCCCATCCCGAATCCCCATCCCATCCCCATCCCATCCCATCCCATCCCCATCCCCATCCCCATCCCATCCCATCCCATCCCACCCCATCCCATCCCATCCCATCCCATCCCATCCCCATCCCCATCCCCATCCCCATCCCCATCCCCGTCCCCGTTCCCGTCTCCATCCCCATCCCATCCCATCCCATCCCATCCCCATCCCCATCCCATCCCATCCCATCCCATCCCATCCCATCCCATCCAATCCCATCCCATCCCCATCCCCATCCCATCCCATCCCATCCCATCCCCATCCCATCCCCATCCCCATCCCCATCCCAAACCCCATCCCATCCCATCCCCATCCCATCCCATCCCATCCCATCCCATCCCATCCCATCCCATCCCATCCCCATCCCATCCCATCCCATCCCCATCCCCATCCCATCCCATCCCCATCCCATCCCATCCCCATCCCCATCCCATCCCATCCCATCCCATCCCATCCCATCCCATCCCCATCCCATCCCATCCCCATCCCCATCCCATCCCATCCCATCCCATCCCATCCCATCCCATCCCCATCCCATCCCCATCCCCATCCCCATCCCAAACCCATCCCCATCCCATCCCGTCCCCATCCCCATCCCCATCCCAAACCCCATCCTAAAGCCCCCATCCCAAACCCCATCCCCCATCCCAAAGCCCCCAAACCCCATCCCAAACTCGATCCCAAAGCCCCCATCCCCAAACCCCCATCGCAAACCCTCCATGCTAAACCCCATCCCAATCCTGCCCCATCCCCATCCCAAACCCAGACTCCCTCAACCCCATCCCAAACCCCATCCTAAAGCCCCCATCCCCTATCCCAAACCCTGCATCCCGACCCCATCCCCATCCCAAAGCCCCATCCCAAACTCCCCACCCCCATCTCCAACCCCACATCTCAAACCCCCCAAACCCCATCTTCAAGCCCCCCACCCCAAATCCCCCACCCCAAACCCAAACTCTGCATCCCCATCCCAAACTCCGCACCTAAAATCCCCATCTCAAACCTCCCATCCCAAATCCCCCATCCCCAAACCCATCCCAAACCCAACCCCACATCCCAAATCTGCATCCCAAACCCTGCACCCCCATCCTGACCCCATCCCAAACCCCATCCCCATCCCAAATCCCAAATCCCACATCCCAAACTCCATCCCAACCCCAATCCTGGCCCCGCCATCCCCGTCCTGACCCCATCCCAAACCCAAACCCCCATCCCTGATACCCCAACCCAAATCCCATCCCTACTCCCAGTACCTCCCAGTGCCCCCCATTTCACCCCAGTGCCCCCAGTTCATCCCAGTGCCCCCCAGTGACCCCAGTGCCCCCCATTTCATCCCAGCCCCCCCCAGTTCATCCCAGCACCCCCCAGTTCATCCCAGTACCCCCCAGTGCCCCCCAGCGCCCCCCAGTGCCCCCCAGAGCCCCCCATTTCACCCCTGTATTCCCCAGCTCCCCCATTTCATCCCAGTAACCCCCAGTGCCCCCCATTTCATCCCAGCACCCTCCAGTTCATCCCAGCACCCCCCATTTCATCCCAGTGCCCCCCAGCACCCCCCATTTCATCCCAGCACCCCCCAGTGTCCACCAGTACCCCCCAGTATCCCCCATTTCATCCCAGTACCCCCCCATTGCACCCCCACCCCATCCCCCAGTGCTTTCCGGTGCCCAGCTGTGCCCAGGTGTGCCCGGGTGTGCCCGGGTGTGCCCAGGTGTGCCCGGGTGTGCCCAGGTGTGCTCAGGTGTGCCTGGGTGTGCCCAGCTGTGCCCAGGTGTGCCCAGGTGTGCCCGGGTGTGCCCAGGTGTGCCCAGGTGTGCCCAGGTGTGAGGCGCTGCCCACCCCCAGAGTGGGTTCGGGACCCCCAGAATGGGTCAGGACTGGAGCAGTGCTGGGTGCTGATCCCCTATTCCCATACCCAGGTGTGCCCAGGTGTGCCCAGGTGTGCCCAGATGTGCCAGGTGCTGCCCGCCATTAGTGAGGACCCTCGGAGTGGTTCAGGCTTTGATCCATTGCTCATCTCTCCCCCATTCCATGTCCCCCCAGGTGTGCCCAGGTGTCTCCAGGTGCGCCCAGGTGTGCCCAGGTGCGCCCAGGTGTGCAGGATGACGTGTGAGGTGCTGCCCACCATCAGCCAGGACCCCCAGAGTGGTTCAGTATCCCCAGAGTGGTTCAGTCTCAGATCAGCTGCTCACATCACTTCCACTCCATGTCCCCCCAGGTGTCCCCAGGTGTCCCCAGGTGTGCCCAGGTGTGCCCAGGTGTGCCCAGGTGTCCCCAGGTGTCCCCAGGTGTGCCCAGGTGCGCCCAGGTGCGCGCAGGTGTGCCCAGGATGATGTGGGAGGTGCTGCCCACCATCAGCCAGGACCCCCAGAGTGGTTCAGGACCCCCAAAGAACCCAGTCTTGCACCAACCCCTCACATTGCTCCCATCCTGTATCTCCCCAGGTGTGCCCAGGTGTGCCCAGGTGCGCCCAGGTGCACCCAGGACGATGTGCGAGGTGCTGCCCACCATCAGCCAGGACCCTCAGACAACCCAAACTTGTACAGTCACTCACATCCCTCCCATGTTGTGCATCCCCAGGTGTGCCCAGGTGTCTCCAGGTGCGCCCAGGTGCGCGCAGGTGCCCAGGATGACGTGTGAGGTGCTGCCCACCATCAGCCAGGACCCTCAGGATCTGTCAGGACCCCCACAGTGGTTCAGTCTCAGATCAGCTGCTCACATCACTCCCACTCCATGTCCCCCCAGGTGTCCCCAGGTGTGCCCAGGTGCGCCCAGGTGCGCGCAGGTGCGCCCAGGATGATGTGCGAGGTGCTGCCCACCATCAGCGAGGACCCGCGGCGGGGCTCGGGCGCGGCCGAGGAGCCGGGGCTGGAGCAGCTGATGGTGCAGATGCTGCGGGAGCGCGAGCGGCTGCTGGAGACGCTGCGGGACACGCAGGAGGGGCTGAACACGGCGCACCTGCGGCTGCGCGACCTCGCCCACGAGAGGGACCTGCTGCAGCGCCAGCTCAACTGCGCCCTGCCGCAGGTCAGGCACACCTGGGGAGGGGGTAAACTGGGTGTGGTGGGGGCGGAGAAAGGGTTAAAGCAGGTGTGGTGGGGTTAAACCAGGTGTGGTGTGGGTGGGGTTTGGTTAAACCGGGTGTGGTGTGGTTAAAGGTGGGGTTAAAGCAGGTGTGGTGTGGATAAACCAGGTGTGGTCAGGTGTGTGTGGGGTTAAACCAGGTGTGGTGTGGATAAAGGTGGGGTTAAACCAGGTGTGGTGTGGGTGGGGTTTGGTTAAACCAGGTGTGGTGTGGGTGAAGTTAAACCAGGTGTGGTGTGGTTAAAGGTGGGGTTAAACCAGGTGTGGTGTGGGAGGGGTTAAACCAGGTGTGGTGTGGTTAAAGGTGTGGTGTGGTGTGGGTGAAGTTAAACCAGGTGTGGTGTGGATAAACCACGTCTGGTCAGGTGTAGGTGGGGTTAAACCAGGTGTGGTGTGGAAGGGGTTAAACCAGGTGTGCTGTGGTTAAAGGTGGGGTTAAACCAGGTGTGGTCAGGTGTGGGTGGGGTTAAACCAGGTGTGGTGTGCATAAACCAGGTGTGGTCAGGGAGGGGAGGGGTTAAAGCAGGTGTGGTCAGGGAGGGGCTGAACACGGCGCACCTGCGGCTGCGCGACCTGGCCCACGAGCGGGACCTGCTGCAGCGCCAGCTCAACTGCGCCCTGCCGCAGGTCAGGCACACCTGGGCCGGGGGTAAAGGTGGGGTTAAAGCAGGTGTGGTGTGGGGGAAGTTAAACCAGGTGTGGTGTGGACAAACCAGGTGTGGTGTAGTTAAAGGGTTAGGGTTAGGGTTAGGTGTGGTGTGGGAGGGGTTAAAGCAGGTGTGGTGTGATTAAAGGTGGGGTTAAACCAGGTGTGGTGTGGATAAACCAGGTGTGGTCAGGTGTGTGTGGGGTTAAACCAGGTGTGGTGTGGATAAAGGTGAGATTAAACCACGTGTGGTGTGGGTGGGCTTTGGTTAAACCAGGTGTGGTGTGGTTAAAGGTGGGGTTAAACCAGGTGTGGTGTGGGGGAAGTTGAACCAGGTGTGGAGTGGTTAAAGGTGTGATGTGGAAGGGGTTAAACCAGGTGTGGTGTGGTTAAAGGTGGGGTTAAACCAGGTGTGGTGTGGGGGAAGTTGAACCAGGTGTGGAGTGGTTAAAGGTGTGATGTGGAAGGGGTTAAACCAGGTGTGGTGTGGGAGGGGTTAAACCAGGTTTAGTGTGGATAAACCAGGTGCGGTGTGGTTGAAGGTGGGGTTAAACCAGGTGTGGTCAGGGAGGGGTGGGGTTAAAGCAGGTGTGGTGTGGGAGGGGTTAAACCAGGTGTGGTGTGGGTTGGGTTTGGTTAAACCAGGTGTGGTGTAAATAAACCAAGTGAGGTGTGGTTAAAGGTGGGGTTAAACCAGGTGTGGTGTGGGAGGGGTTAAACAGGTGTGGTGTGGTTAAAGGTGGGGTTAAAGCAGGTGTGGTGTGGGGGAAGTTAAACCAGGTGTGGTGTGGATAAACCAGGTCTGGTCAGGTGTAGGTGGGGTTAAACCAGGTGTGGTCAGGTCTGGGTTTGGTTAATCCAGGTGTGCTGTGGTTAAAGGTGGGGTTAATCCAGGTGTGGTCAGGGAGGGGAAGGGTTAAACCAGGTGTGCTCGGGGTGGGGCAGGTGAGGGAGGGTCAGGTGTGGCCAAGTGTGTGTCCCTGTGTCCCTGTGTCCCCAATGTCCCCAATGTCCCCAATGTCCCCAATCCCCCCCAGTATCCCCAATCCCCCTCAGTGTCCCCAATGTCCCCAATCCCTGCAATGTCCCCAACCTCGCCCAGTGTCCCCAGTGTCCCCTCAGTGTCCCCAGTGTCCCCTCAGTGTCCCCTCGGTGTCCCCTCGGTGTCCCCAGGAGCTGGCGGCGCTGACCAAGGAGCTGAACCTGTGCCGGGAGCAGCTCCTGGAGCGCGAGGAGGAAATCGCCGAGCTCAAGGCCGAGCGCAACAACACCCGCGTGAGCACCCGGCGTCCCCAACGTCACCCCAGGGTCACCCCAGGGTCACCAATGTCACCCCAATGTCACCCCAATGTCACCAATGTCCCCAATGTCACTCCAGTGTCACCCCAGTGTCACCCCAGGGTCACCCCAGTGTCCTCTCAGTGTCCCCGGCATCCCCAATGTCACCCCAATGTCACCCCAGGGTCACCCCCGTGTCCCCAGGGTCCCCAGTGTCCCCCCAGTTTCCCCCCAGTGTCACCCCAGGGTCACCCCAGGGTCACCCCAGGGTCACCCCCGTGTCCCCAGGGTCCCCAATGTCACCCCAGTGTCACCCCAGTGTCCTCTCAGTGTCCCCGGCGTCCCCAATGTCACCCCAATGTCACCCCAGGGTCACCCCCGTGTCCCCAACGTCCCCAATGTCACCCCAGGGTCACCCCAGGGTCACCCCCGTGTCCCCAGGGTCCCCAGTGTCACCCCAGTGTCCTCTCAGTGTCCCCGGCGTCCCCAATGTCACCCCAATGTCACCCCAGGGTCACCCCAGGGTCACCCCAGGGTCCCCTCAGAGTCCCCTCAGTGTCCCCTCAGTGTCCCCAATGTCCCCTCAGTGTCCCCTCAGTGTCCCCAATGTCACCCGGGGTCCCCAATGTCCCCCCAGTGTCACCCCAGGGTCACCCCAGTGTCCCCTCAGTGTCCCCAATGTCACCCCAGGGTCACCCCAGGGTCACCCCAGTGTTCCCAGTGTCCCCAATGTCACCCCAGTGTCACCTCAGTGTCCCCTCAGTGTCCCCTCAGTGTCCCCAATATCCCCTCAGTGTCCCCTCAGTGTCCACATTGTCACCCCAGGGACACCCCAGTGTCCCCTCAGTGTCACCCCAGTGTCCCCCCAGTGTCCCTGTCACCTCATTGTCACAAATCCCCCCATTGTCCCCAACGCCCCCAATCCCCCCAGTGTCCCCAGTGTCCCCAACGCTGTCCCCACTGTCCCCAGCTGCTGCTGGAGCACCTGGAGCACCCGGTGTCCATAATGTCCCCAATGTCCCCAATGATGTCCCAAATATACCAAATCCCCTCAATGTCCCCAATGACCCAAATGCCCCCAACACCCCCAATCCCCCTATTGTCCCCAATGTCCCCAACGTCCCCGACGTCCCCAAATCCCCCCAATGTCCCCAAATCCTCCCAATCCCCCAGTCCCCACAATGTCCCTGATCCCCTCAGTGTCCCCAATGTCCCCAATGTCCCCAACGCTGTCCCCAACGCTGTCCCCAGCTGCTGCTGGAGCACCTGGAGCACCTGGTGTCCCCAATGTCCCCAATCCCCTCAATGTCCCCAATCCCCCCAATGTCCCCAATGTCCCCAACACCCCCAACGCTGTCCCCAACGCTGTCCCCAACGCTGTCCCCAGCTGCTGCTGGAGCACCTGGAGCACCTGGTGTCGCGCCACGAGCGCTCTCTCCGCATGACCGTGGTCAAGCGCCAGGCGCAGTCCCCGGCCGGGGTCTCCTCCGAGGTCGAGGTGCTCAAGGCCCTCAAGTCGCTCTTCGAGCACCACAAGGCCCTGGATGAGAAGGTCTGGGGGGGGTTTGGGGGGTCCTGGGGGGTTTTGGGGGGTCCTGGGGGGTTTTGGGGAGACTTTGGGAGGTTTTGGGGAGACTTTGGGAGGTTTTGGGGGGGTTTAAGGCGATCTGGTGGCACCTGGATGTGCCAGGTGGGACCTGGTGGGACCTGAAGGGGTCTCAGGAGGGTTCTGAAGTGACCTGGGGAGTCTTGGTGGGTCTTGGGGGGTTTTGGGTGAGTTTTGGGGGGTCCTGGGGGGTTTTGGGGGGAATTTGGGAGGTTTTGGGAGGTTTTAAGGCGATCTGGAGGCACCTGGATGTGCCAGGTGGGACCTGGTGGGACCTGGTGGGACCTGAAGGGGTCTCAGGAGGGTTCTGGGGTGCCCTGGTGGTCCTAGGGGGTCTTTGGGGGGTCCTAGGGGGTCTCTGGGGGGATTTTGGAGGGATTTTGGGGTGACCTCGGGGGTCCTTGAGGGGTTTTAGAGGGGTTTTAATGGGACCTGGTGGGACCTGAAGGGGTCTCAGGAGGGTTCTGGGGTGACCTGGGGGTCTTGGTGGGGTCTTTGGGAGGTTTTTGGGGTGACCTCGGGGGTCTTTGGGAGGTTTTGGGAGGATTTTGGGAGGTTTTGGGGGTTTTAAGGTGACCTGGTGGGACCTGAAGGGATCTCAAGAGGGTTCTGGGGTGACCTGGGGGTCCTTGGGGGGTCCTTGAGGAGTTTTTGGGGGGTTCTTGGGGGGTCCTGAGGGGTTTCAAGGTCACCTGGTGGCACCTGGAGGTCCCCAAGGGGGTCTCGGGGGGTTCTGGGATGTCCCAGGTGACAACTGGGGGGGACCTGAAGGGGTCTCAGGAGGGTTCTGAGGTCACCTGGGGGTCCTTGGGGGGGTCTTTGGGGGGTCCTTGAGGGGTTTGGTGGCACCTGGTCACACCTGGTGGCCCTCAAGTGTCCCTGGGGGGGACCCAAAGGGGTCTCAGGGGACTTTGGGGTCACACAGGTGGCTCTGGGGACATCTCGGGGGGGTTCTGGTGGCTCTGGGGACATCCTCAGTGGGGTTCTGGTGTCCCCTCGATGTCACCCCTCGATGTCACCCCCGGTGTCCCCAGGTGCGGGAGCGGCTGCGGGTGGCCCTGGAGCGCGTGGCCGTCCTCGAGGAGGAGCTGGAGGTGTCCAACCAGGAGGTGGGGACAGCAGGGGACACCAGGGGACACCGGGGTGGTGACATTGGGGTGGTGACACTGGGGTGGTGACACCGGGGTGGTGACCCTGGGGTGTCCCCGTGGGTCCACCGTGGGTGGTGCCAGGGGTGGCGCCCATCGCGGTCCCTTGGAGGTGACACCTGCGCCCTGTCCCTGTGTCCCCTGGGGGTGACACCTGTGCCCTGTCCCTGTGTCCCCCTGCGGGTGGCACCTGTCCCTGTCCCCCAATATCCCTGTCCGTGGGAGTGACACTGTCCCCTGTCCTGTCCCCATGGCCCTGTTGGTGACATTGTCACTGTCACTGTCATTGTCCCCTCATTGTCCCCACAGTCCCTGTCCCTGTTGGTGTCATTGTCCCCATGTCACTGTCATTGTCCCCACAGTCCCTGTTCCTCTGGGAGCAGCTGTCCCTGTCCCTGTCCCCACAGTCCCTGTCCCTGTCCCTGTTGGTGTCATTGTCCCCTCATTGTCCCCACAGTCCCTGTCCCTGTTGGTGACACTGTCACTGTCACTGTCCCCTCATTGTCCCCACAGTCCCTGTCCCTGTCCCTGTTGGTGACACTGACACTGTCACTGTCATTGTCACTGTCATTGTCCCCACAGTCCCTGTCCCTCCGGGAGCAGCTGTCCCTGTCCCTGTTGGTGACATTGTCACTGTCACTGTCCCCTCATTGTCCCCTCATTGTCACTGCCATTGTCCCCACAGTCCCTGTCCCTGTTGGTGACACTGTCACTGTCACTGTCCCCTCGTTGTCCCCTCATTGTCCCCACAGTCCCTGTCCCTATCCCCATGTCCCTGTTGGTGACACTGTCACTGTCACTGTCGTTGCCCCCACAGTCCCTGTCCCTCCGGGAGCAGCTGTCCCTGTCCCTGTTAGTGACATTGTCACTGTCATTGTCCCCTCATTGTCCCCTCATTGTCCCCACAGTCGCTGTCCCTCTGGGAGCAGCTGTCCCTGTCCCTGATGTCCCCATTGAGGTGACACTGTCACTGCCATTGTCCCCACAGTCCCTGTCCCTCCGGGAGCAGCTGTCCCTGTCCCTGTTGGTGACACTGTCACTGTCATTGTCCCCTCATTGTCCCCACAGTCCCTGTCCCTGTTGGTGACACTGTCACTGTCATTGTCACTGTCATTGTCCCCACAGTCCCTGTCCCTCCGGGAGCAGCTGTCCCTGTCCCTGTCCCTGTTGGTGACACTGTCACTGTCATTGTCACTGTCATTGTCCCCACAGTCCCTGTCCCTCCGGGAGCAGCTGTCCCGGCGCCGCTCGGGCCTGGAGGACGCGGCCACCGACGGGGACAGCGCGGTGAGGGGACACTGGGGGGGACACTGGGGGGGTCAGGGGTCACCAATGGGGACACCGGGGTGGGGGTCAGGGGGGACACTGGGGGGGGGGGTGGTGCAGTGAGGGGACAGTGGGGGGACACTGAGGGGACATTGGGGGGGGTTCAGGGGACACTGGGGAGGTCGGGGGGGACACTGAGGGGACATTGGGGAGGTCAGGGGGGTCAGGGGACACTGTGGGGGTCAAGGGGGGTGACACTGGGGACATTGAGGGGGTCAGGGGGTGACACTGTGGGGGACAGCACACTGAGGGGACACTGGGGACATTGTGGGGGGACACTGGGGGGGTCGGGGGGTGACAATGGGGACATTGAGGGGGTCAGGGGACACTGGGGGGGGGGACAGCACAGTGAGGGGACAATGGGGACATTGGGGGGGTTCAGGGGACAATGGCGACATTGTGGGGGTCAGGGGGTGACACTGGGGACATTGTGGGGGGGACACTGGGGGGGTCGGGGGTCACCGATGGGGACAGAGCAGTGAGGGGACAATGGGGACACTGGGGGGGGGTCAGAGGGGACACCAGGGGAGGGTCAGGGGTCAGAGGTCGGGGTCAGGGGTCAGAGGTCAGGGGTCAGAGGTCAGAGGTCAGGGGTCAGGGATCAGGGGTCAAGGGTCAGAGGTCAGAGGTCAGGGGTCAGGGGTCAGAGGTCAGCTGTCCCCCCAGGCGGAGCTGGAGGCGTCGCTGGGCCGGCAGCGCGTGGCCGCCCTGTGCCGGCAGCTGGGGCGGCTGCAGGACGAGGCCAACGCGGCCCAGAGGGAGCTGGCCCGGGCCCACGAGGCGGGGGCCAAGCTGCAGAGGGACCTCAAGGAGGTGAGAATGGGGCGGGATATGGAAAAAACGGGAAAAAACGGGCGAAAAAACGGGAAAAAATGGTGAAAAAACAGCGAAAAAACGGCGAAAAAATGGGAAAAAACGGCAAAAAAATGGCTGAAAATTTGATAAAAATGGCCCGAACTGGGAGGGTTTCACCCCAAACTGGGAGGGTTTCACCCCAAAGTGGGAGCTGGGCCAGGCCCACGAGGCGGGGGCCGAGCTGCAGAGGGACCTCAAGGAGGTGAGGATGGGGTAAAACGGGGGGAAATATGGAAAAAAGGGGAAAAAAAAATGGAAAAAAAAACGGGGGGAAAATGGGGAAAAATGGCATCAAACTGGGATGATGTCCCCAATGTCCCCCCAACGTCCCCCCAATGTCCCCAATGTCCCTGATGTCCCCAATCTCCCCAATGATGTCCCCAATGTCCGCAATCCCCCCCCCCAAAGTCTCCAATGTCCCCAATATCCCCAATCCCCCCAATGTCCCCAAAGTCCCCAATGTCCCCGATGTCCCCAATGATGTCCCCAATGTCCCCAGTGTCCCCAATCCCCCCGATGTCCCAAATCCCCTCAATGCCCCCAGTGTCCCCCATGTCCCCGATGTCCCCAATGATGTCCCCAATGTCCCCAATGATGTCCCCAATGGTGTTCCCAATGTCCCCAAATCCCCCAATCCCCCCAATATCCCCAACACCCCCAATGTCCCCAATATCCCCTCAATGTCCCCAATGTCCCCAATGTCCCCACTGTCCCCAATGATGTCCCCACTGTCCCCAATGATGTCCCCAATGTCCCAAATCCCCCGGTGTCCTCAAATCCCCCAATGTCCCCAATCCCCCCAATGTCCCCAATGTCCCCAGTGATGTCCCCAATGTCCCCAATCCCCCCTGATGTCCCCGATGTCCCAAATCCCCTCAACATCCCCAAAGTCCCCAACGTCCCCGATGTCCCCAATGATGTCCCCAATGTCCCCAGCGTCCCCATTGTCCCCAATCCCCCCAATGTCCCCAGATGTCCCCAATGTCCCCAATGTCCCCAATCCCCCCAGTGTCCCCCATGTCCCCAATGTCCCAAATCCCCTCCATGTCCCCAATCCCCCCAATGTCCCCAATGTCCCCAGTGATGTCCCCAATGTCCCCAATCCCCCCTGATGTCCCCGATGTCCCAAATCCCCTCAACATCCCCAAAGTCCCCAATGTCCCCAATGTCCCAAATCCCCTCAATGCCCCCAGTGTCCCCCATGTCCCCGATGTCTCCAATGTCCCCAATATCCCCTCAATGTCCCCAATCCCCCCCATGTCCCCAATGTCCCCCCAGTGATGTCCCCGCTGTGTCCCCGCAGGCGCTGGCGCAGCGCGAGGACATGGAGGAGCGCATCACGACGCTGGAGCGGCGCTACCTGAGCGCCCAGCGCGAGGCCACCTCCCTGCACGACGCCAACGACCGCCTGGAGAACGAGCTGGCCAGCAAGGAGAGCCTGTACAGACAGGTGACACACCTGGGGACACACCTGGGGACACCTGGGACACACCTGGGGCACACCTGGGATAGATGGGATACACCTGGAGAACGAGCTGGCCAGCAAGGAGAGCCTGTACAGACAGGTGACACACCTGGGGACACACCTGGGGACACCTGGGACACACCTGGGGACATTGGGGACACACGGGGACACACCTGAGATAGATGGGATACACCTGGGATACACCTGGAGAACGAGCTGGCCAGCAAGGAGAGCCTGTACAGACAGGTGACACACCTGGGGACACCTGGGGACAGTGGGGACACCTGAGATACACCTGGGGACACCTGGGACACACCTGGGGACACCTGAGATACATGGGACACACCTGAGACACACCTGGGATAGATGGGATACACCTGGGGAACGAGCTGGCCAGCAAGGAGAGCCTGTACAGACAGGTGACACACCTGGGGACACACCTGGGACACACCTGGGACACACCTGGGGACACACCTGGGATACATGGGATACACCTGGGGAATGAGCTGGCCAGCAAGGAGAGCCTGTACAGACAGGTGACACACCTGGGGACACCTGGGGACACCTGAGATACATGGGATACACCTGGGATACACCTGGGATAGGGGGGATACACCTGGGGAACGAGCTGGCCAGCAAGGAGAGCCTGTACAGACAGGTGACACACCTGGGGACACACCTGGGGACACACCTGGGGATACACCTGGGGACACACCTGGACACACCTGGGGACACACCTGGGGACACACCTGGGGATACACCTGGGGACACACCTGGGGACACCTGGGGACACACCTGGGGACACACCTGGGCACACCTGGACACACCTGGGGACACCTGGGACACACCTGGACACACCTTGGTGTCCCCATTGGTGTCCCCACCACCGGTTGATGTTGTCCCCCCCACCCCATCCTTGTCCTTCACTCAATGTCCCCAACGTCCCCCCCAAATCCATGTCCCAAATGCCCCAAATGTCCCCAATGTCCCCAATGTCCCCAACGCCCCAAATGTCCCCAATGTCCCCAACATCCCAAATGTCCCCAATGCTCCCCAGGCCCCCAGTGTCCCTGATGTCCCCAGTGTCCCCATGACCCCAATGCCCCCAACGCCCCCAATCATCCCAGTGTCCCCCATATCCCTGATCCCCTCAAATGTCCCCAACACCCCCAATGTCCCAATGTCCCCAACGTCCCCAATGTCCCCAAATGTCCCCAGAGCGAGGAGAAGGGCCGGCAGCTGCAGGAGTGGCTGGAGAACACCTGATGTCCCCAATGTCCCCAATGTCCCCAACGTCCCCGATGTCCCCAACGCCCCCAATGTCCCCAACGTCCCCGATGTCCCCAAATGTCCCCAGAGTGAGGAGAAGGGCCGGCAGCTGCAGGAGTGGCTGGAGAGCACCTGATGTCCCCAATGTCCACAATGTCCCCAATGTCCCCAATGTCCCCAACACCCCCAATGTCCCCGATGTCCCCAATGTCCCCAATGTCCCCAGAGCGAGGAGAAGGGCCGGCAGCTGCAGGAGTGGCTGGAGAGCACCTGATGTCCCCAATGTCCACAATGTCCCCAACATCCCCAATGTCCCCAATGTCCCCAATGTCCCCAATGTCCCCAAATGTCCCCAGAGCGAGGAGAAGGGCCGGCAGCTGCAGGAGTGGCTGGAGGACGCCAAGGCCAAGCTGCAGCTGACCCTGATGTCCCCAATGTCCCCAACATCCCAAATGTCCCCATTGTCCCCCAATGTCCCTGATCCCCGCAATGACCCCAATGCCCCCAACGCCCCCAATGTCCCCAATCATCCCAGTGTCCCCCATATCCCTGATCCCCTCAAATGTCCCAAACACCCCCAATGTCCCCAAGCTCCAACACCCCAAATGTCCCCAACGCCCCCAACGTCCCTGATGTCCCCAATGTCCCCAATGTCCCCAACGCCTCCGATGTCCCCGATGTCCCCGATGTCCTCAATGTCCCTGATGTCCCCAACACCCCCAACACCCCCAATGTCCCCGATGCTCCCGATGTCCCCAATGTCCCCGATGTCCCCAAATGTCCCCAGAGCGAGGAGAAGGGCCGGCAGCTGCAGGAGTGGCTGGAGAACACCTGATGTCCCCAATGTCCCCATGACCCCAACGCCCCAATGTCCCCAATGTCCCCAATGTCCCCAATGTCCCCAAATGTCCCCAGAGCGAGGAGAAGGGCCGGCAGCTGCAGGAGTGGCTGGAGAACACCCGATGTCCCCAATGTCCCCATGACCCCAACACCCCCAATGTCCCCGATGTCCCCAATGTCCCCGCTGTCCCCAAATGTCCCCAGAGCGAGGAGAAGGGCCGGCAGCTGCAGGAGTGGCTGGAGGACGCCAAGGCCAAGCTGCAGCTGACCCTGCAGAAGGCCGAGACCCTGCCCGAGATCGAGGCCCAGCTGGCCCAGAGGGTGGCGGCGCTCACCAAGGTGGGGCTGGGGGCGGCTCGGGGGGTCCTGGGCGCATTTGGGGGGTCCTGGGTGGGTCCCAGGGGGTCTCAGGGGGGTCTTGAGGAGGTTTGGGGGGAATTTGGGGGGGTTTGAGGGGGTCCCAGCGGGGTCTTGAGGAGGTTTGAGGGGGGTTTGGGGGGGTCTTGGGGGGATTTGGGGGCGGCTTGGGGGGGTCTTGAGGAGTCTGGGGGATCTGGGGGGATTTGGGGGGGATTCGAGGGGAATTTGGGGGGGTCCCAGGGGGGGTCTAGGGGGGTCTTGAGGAGGTTTGAGGGGGATTTGGGGGAGTTTGGGGGGAATTCGAGGAGGTTTGGGGGGTCCTGGGTGGATTTGGGGGAGTTTAGGGGGGAGGTTGAGAGGTTTTGGGGGGATTTGGGGGAATTTTGGGGGAGTTTTGGGGGAATTTGGGGGGTTTGAGGGGGGTCCCAGGGGGATCTTGAGGAGGCTTGAGGGGGATTTGGGGGAGTTTGGGGGGTCTTGGGGGGATTTGGGGGGAATTCGAGGGGGTTTGGGGGGGGTCCTGGGTGGATTTTGGGGGGTTTGGGGGAGTTTAGGGGAGGTTGAGAGGTTTTGGGGGGATTTGGGGGAGTTTTAGGGGGATTTGGGGGTGTCTTGAGGGGTTTTGAGGCAATTTTGGGGGTGTTTTGTGGGGGTTTGGGGCTCACCAAGGTGGGTTTGGGGTCTGGGGAAGTCCTGAGGGAAATGTCCCCCCCCCCAAATGTCCCCAAATGTCCCCAAATGTCCCCAAAATGTCCCCAAAATGTCCCCAAATGTCCCCAAATGTCCCCAAATGTCCCCAAAATGTCCCCAAATGTCCCCAAATGTCCCCCAATGTCCCCAAAATGTCCCCAAATGTCCCCAAATGTCCCCAGGCCGAGGAGCGCCACGGGAATTTCGAGGAGCGGCTGCGTCAGCTCGAGGCCCAACTGCAGGAGAAGAACCAGGAGCTGCAGAGGGTGGGCACCCCAAAAATGGGAACCCCCCAAAAAATGGGGAAACCCCAAAAAATGGGGAACCTGAAATTTGGAAACCCCGAAAATGGGGAATTCTAAAAATGGGAAAGCCAAAAAATGGGAAATCCCAAAAATGGGAAATTCTAAAAAATGGGGAAACCTCAAAATTGGAAACCCCGAAAATGGGGAATTCTAAAAAATGGGAAATTCTGAAAATGGGAAATTCTTAAAAGGGGAAATTATAAAAATGGGAAACCTCAAAAAATGGGAAATTCTAAAAATGGGAAAGCCCAAAAATGGGAAATTCTTAAAAGGGGAAATTCTAAAAAATGGGGAAAACCCGAAAATGGGAAATTCTAAAAAATGGGAAAGCTGAAAAATGGGAAATTCTAAAAATGGGAAATTCTAAAAAACGGGAAATCCCGAAAATGGGAAATTCTTAAAAGGGGAAATTCTAAAAATGGGGAAACCTCAAAAAATGGGGACCCCAAAAAATGGGGAAACCCCAAATTTGGAAACCCCGAAAATGGGGAATTCTAAAAAATGGGAAAGCCCAAAAATGGGAAATTCTAAAAAATGGGAAATTCTAAAAATGGGGAAACCTCAAAATTGGAAGCCCCAAAAATGGGGAAACCCCAAAAATGGGAAACCCCGAAAATGGGAAATTCTAAAAAGGGGAAATTCTAAAAATGGGAAATCCCGAAAATGGGAAATTCTTAAAAGGGGAAATTCTAAAAATGGGAAATCCCGAAAATGGGAAATTCTAAAAAATGGGAAATTCTAAAAATGGGGAAACCTCAAAATATGGGGACCGCAAAAAATGGGGAAACCCCAAATTTAGAAACCCCAAAAATGGGAAATTCTAAAAAATGGGAAAGCCCAAAAATGGGAAATTCTTAAAAGGGGAAATTCTAAAAATGGGGAAACCTCAAAATTGGAAACCTCAAAAATGGGAAATCCCGAAAATGGGAAATTCTAAAAATGGGGAAACCTCAAATTTGGAAACCCCAAAAATAGGAAATTCTAAAAATGGGAAATCCTGAAAATGGGAAATTCTAAAAATGGGGAAACCTCAAAATTGGAAACCCCAAAAATGGGGAAACCTCAAATTTGGAAACCCCAAAAATGGGAAATTCTAAAAAATGGGAAATTCTAAAAATGGGAAACCTCAAAAATGGGGGACACCACAAAAATGGAAAACATCAAAAGTGGGACACGCAAAAATGAGAAACCTCAAAAATTTGAAATCCCAAAAATGGGGACACCAAAAATAGGAAACACCAAAAATGGGAACCCACAAAAAGGGAAATCCCAAAAATTGGACAGCCCAAAAATGGGGACAGCCCAAATATGGGAAACCCCAAAAAGTGGGAAACCCCAAATTCGGGCACCCCAAAAATGGGGAAATCCCAAAAATGGAAAACCTCAAAAATGGGAAACCCCAAATTCGGGCACCCCAAAAATGGGGAACCCCAAAAATGGGAAACCCCAAAAACGTGGGCACCCCAAAAAAGGGAAACCCCAAAGATGGAAAACCCCAAAAACGGAAACCCCCAAATTCGGGCACCCCAAAAATGGGAAACCCCAAAAATGGAAAACATCAAAAATCCGAACCCCAAATTCTGAGTTTTTTGGGCGTTTTTTGGAAACCCCAAAAACGTGGGCACCCCAAAAATGGAAAACCTCAAAATGGACCCCCAAAAATGAGGAAACCCCAAATCTGAAACCCCCAAAATTTCATCGGGGGGGTGGGGACTCCCCAAAATTTCCCTGCCCCCAAAACCCATTAAAAACCTGAATTTCCCCCATTTTTGGGGCTACAAACGCGGGGTTTTCGAGGCTCCCGCTGGCTCCCCGACGCTTGGGATTTTTTTGGGGATCCCCCAAAATGTTGGGGACCCCTCCCCGAAATTTTGGGGTCCCCCCCCAGGCGCGGCAGAGGGAGAAGATGAACGACGAGCACAACAAGCGGCTCTCGGAGACGGTGGATCGGCTGCTGAGCGAGAGCAACGAGCGGCTGCAGCTGCACCTCAAGGAGAGGATGGGGGCCCTGGAGGAGAAGGTGGGGACCCCCAAATTGGGGAGGGGGCTGGGGAAAAAATTGGGGGGTCCTGGGTGAAATTTGGGGGGTCCTGGGTGAAATTTGGAGAGTTTTGGGGGGATTTGGGGGGGTTTTGGGGCAGTTTAAGGGGAGTTTTGGGGGGTCCGAAATGGTTTTTGATGCACCTCAAGGAGAGAATTGGGGGCACCCGAAAATTGGGGAGGGGTCTGGGGGGTCCTGGGAGTAATTTGGGGGGGAATTTGGGGGGTCCTGGAAGGGATTTGGGGGAATTTGGGGGGAGTTTGGGGGGTCCGAAATTGTTTTTGTTGCATCTCAAGGAGAGAATTGGGGGCACCCCAAAATTGGGGAGGGGTCTGGGGGGTCCTGGAAGGGATTTGGGGGAATTTGGGGGAGTTTGGGGGGTCCTGGGCGGCTGCAGCTGCACCTCAAGGAGAGGATGGGGGCCCTGGAGGAGAAGGTGGGGACCCCCAAACTGGGGAGGGGGCTGGGGAAAAAATTGGGGGGTCTGGGTGAAATTTGGGGGGTCCCAGGGGGATTTTGGGGAGTTTTGGGGGTTCCGGAATGGTTTTTGTTGCACCTCAAGGAGAGAATTGGGGGCACCCGAAAATTGGGGAGGGGTCTGGGGGATCCTGGATGGGATTTGGTCGAATCTGGGGGGAGTTTGGGGGGTCCTGGGTGGGATTTGGGGGAATTTGGGGGGAATTTTGGGGGGTCTAAAATGGTTTTTGTTGCACCTCAAGGAGAGAATTGGGGGCACCCGAAAATTGGGGAGGGTCTGGGGGGTCCTGAGGGAAATTTGGGGGGTTTTGGGTGAAAACTGGGGGGTCCTGGATGGGATTTGGGGGGAGTTTTGGGGGGTCCTGGAAGGGATTTGGGGAAATTTGGGGGGAGTTTTGGGGGGTCCTGGGCGGCTGCAGCTGCCCCTAAAGGAGAGAATTTGGGGCACCCCAAATTGGGGAGGGGTCTGGGGGGTCCTGGGAATAATTTGGGGAGTCCTGGGTGGGATTTGGGGGGAGTTTGGGGGCTCCTGGATGGGATTTGGGGGAATTTGGGGGGAGTTTGAGGGGTCCCGGGCGGCTGCAGCTGCACCTCAAGGAGAGGATGGGGGCCCTGGAGGAGAAGGTGGGGACCCCCAAATTGGGGAGGGGGCTGGGGGAAAAATCTGGGGGGTCCTGGGTGAAATTTGGAGGAGTTTTTGGGGGGATTTGGGGGGGTTTTGGGGGGTTCTACGGGGTCTAAAATGGGTTTTTGATCCACCTCAAGGAGAGAATTGGGGGCACCCCAAAACTGGGGAGGGGTCTGGGGGGTCCTGGATGGGATTTGATGGGAGTTTGGGGGTCCTGGATGGGATTTGGGGAGAGTTTGGGGGGTCCTGGGTGAAATTTGGGGGGTCCTGGAAGGGATTTGGGGGAATTTGGGGGGAGTTTGGGGGGTCCTGGATGGGATTTGGGGGAATTTGGGGGGTCCCGGGCGGCTGCAGCTGCACCTCAAGGAGAGGATGGGGGCCCTGGAGGAGAAGGTGGGGACCCCCAAATTGGGGAGGGGGCCGGGGAAAAAATTGGGGGGTCCTGGGTGAAATTTGGGGGGTCCTGGGTGAAATTTGGAGGAGTTTTGGGGGGATTTGGGGGGGTTTGGGGCAGTTTAGGGGGAGTTTTGGGGGGGGTCCGAAATGGTTTTTGTTGCACCTCAAGGAGAGAATTGGGGGCACCCGAAAATTGGGGAGGGGTCTGGGGGGTCCTGGGTGAAATTTGGGGGGTCCCAGGGGGATTTTGGGGGAGTTTTGGGGGGTTCTAGGGGGTCTAAAATGGTTTTTGTTGCACCTCAAGGAGAGAATTGGGGGCACCCCAAAACTGGGGAGGGGTCTGGGGGGTCCTGGGAGTAATTTGGGGGGGTCCTGAGGGGAAATTTGAGGGGTCCTGGAAGGGATTTGGGGGAATTTGGGGGGGGTCCTGGAAGGGTTTTGGGGGGAGTTTTGGGGGTCCTGGAAGGGATTTGGGGGAATTTGGGGGGAGTTTTGGGGGCACCCGAAAATTGGGGAGGGGTCTGGGGGGTCCTGGGTGAAATTTGGGGGGTCCCAGGGGGATTTTGGGGGGGTTCTAGGGGGTCTAAAATGGTTTTTGATCCACCTCAAGGAGAGAATTGGGGGCACCCCAAAATTGGGGAGGGGTCTGGGGGGTCCTGGATGGGATTTGGGGGAATTTGGGGGGAGTTTGGGGGGTCCTGGAAGGGATTTGAGGGAAATTTGGGGGGAATTTGGGGGGTCCTGGGTGGCTCCAGCTGCCCCTAAAGGAGAGAATTGGGGGCACCCCAAAATTGGGGAGGGGGCTGGGGAAAAAATTTGGGGGTTCCTGGGTGAAAATTGGGGGGTCCTGGATGAGATTTTGGGGGAATTTGGGGGAATTTGGGGGGTCCTGGGTGGCTCCAGCTGCCCCTAAAGGAGAGAATTGGGGGCACCCCAAAATTGGGGAGGGGTCTGGGAAAAATTTGGGGGGTCCTGGGTGGAATTTGGGGGAATCTGGGGGAGTTTGGGGGGTCCTGGAAGGGATTTTGGGGGAATTTGGGGGGTCCTGGATGGGATTTTGGGGGAATTTGGGGGAATTTGGGGGGTCCTGGGTGGCTCCAGCTGCCCCTAAAGGAGAGAATTGGGGGCACCCCAAAATTGGGAAAAATTTGGGGGGTCCTGGGTGAAATTTGGGGGGGGCTCGGGGCGGGGTTTTGGGGGTCCCCGGGTGGTTTTGGGGGGGATTTTGGGGTTTTTTGGGGGATTTTTGGGTTTATTTTAGGGGTTTTTTGGGGGGGTTTTGGGGGTTTTTTAGGATTTTTTGGGGGTTATTTTTAGGGTTTTTTGAGGGGGGTTTGGGATTTTTTGGGGAGGGGGATTTGGGGTTTTTTTAGGGATTTTTTAGAGATTTTTTGGGGGGTCCCCAGGTGATTTTAATGGGGTTTTTTTGGGGAGGGGGATTTTGGGTTTTCTTGGGGTTTTTTGGGGGATTTTGGGTTATTTTAGGGGTTTTTTAGAGGTTTTTTGGGGAGGGGGATTTGGGGTTTTTTAGGATTTTTTGGGGGTGATTTTAGGGTTTTTTTGAGGGGGGTTTGGGATTTTTTGGGGAGGGGGATTTGGGGTTTTGGGGTTTTTTTTTAGGGATTTTTTGGGGGGTCCCCAGGTGATTTTAATGGGGTTTTTTTGGGGAGGAGGATTTGGGGTTTTTTGGGGATTTTGGTTTTTTTTTTCTTTTTAGGGTTTTTTATTTGGGGGGGGTTTGGAGGTCCCCAGGTGGGTTTGGGAGGGTTTAGGGAATTTTGGGATTTTTTTGGGGGGATTTTTGGGTTTTCTTGGGATTTTTTGGGGGGATTTTTGGGTTTTCTTGGGGGTTTTTTTGGGCTTTTTTTGGGGTTTTTGTTGGGTATTTTTGGGAGGGTTTTGGGTGATTTTGGGTGCTTTTCTGGGGTTTTTTTTTTGGGGGGGGGTTTTTGAGGATTTTTGAGGTTTTTTTTTGGGGGTTTTGGGGTTTTTTTTGGGGTCCCCCCCCTGATTTTTGCCCTCCCCAGAATTCGCTGAGTGAAGAAATCGCCAACATGAAGAAAATGCAGGACGAGCTCCTGCTCAACAAGGTCGGGATTTTGGGGAATTTTTGGGGAATTTTTGGGGAATTTGGGGAAATTTTGGGGTTTTTTTGGGGCATTTTGGGGTTTTTTAGGGGGATTTTTAAAAATTTTTATTTTATTTTATTATTTTATTTTATTTTATTTTATTTTATTTTATATTATTTTATTATTTTATTTTATTTTATTTTATATTATTTTATTTTATTATTTTATTTTATTTTATTTTATTTTATTTTATTTTATTTTATTTTATTTTATTTTATTTTATTTTATTATTTTATTTTATAGTTTAATTTTATTATATTTTATTTTATTGATTTGATTTTCTATTTTAATTTTATTATTTTATTTTTTAGTTTTTATTTTATTTTAGGGGATTTTTGGGGATTTTTTTTTTTTAATTTTGGGGAGGTTTTTTGGGGAAGTCTTGCGGGGATTTTTTGGGGATTTTTTTTGGAACTTTGGGGATTTTTTTTTTTTATTTGGGGAGTTTTTAAAAATTTTTCTGAGGATTTTTGGTTTTTTGGGGTTTTTTTGAGATTTTTTTGAGGGATTTTTTGTGGTTTTTTTTGGAATCTTTGGGGATTTTAAATTTTTTAAAATTTGGCTATTTTTTCCTTTTTAGGTTTTTTTTTTTAATTTTTGAGGATTTTTTTTATTTTTTAGAATTCCTTTTTTGTGTTTTTTTCGTAATTTATTTTTTATTTTTTCAGGGGTTTTAGGAGAGTTTTGGGTTTTTTGAGGGGATTTTTTGTTGGGTTTTTTTTGGTGGATTTGGGAAAATTCAGAGGAAATTTTGGGGAGTTTTGGCCGGAATTTGGGGAGGAATTTTGGTAGATTCTGGATGGATTTTGAGAGGTTTTATCGATGAATTTAGGGTGGAATTTTGGCTGGATTTGGGGAAATTTTGGGAGGATTTTTTGATGGATTTTGGGATGGGTTTTGGGGGGGATTTTGGGGACGTTTTTTGGGATAAATTTTGGATTTTTTCCCCAATCCCGGACGATTTTTGGGGCTCCCCGGACCCCGATTCCCACTGGGGGTCCCCAGCACTGAATCCCAAATTCCCAAAATTCCCAAAATTCCCCCAAATTCCCGAATTTCCGCCCCCAGGAGCAGCTGCTGGCGGAGATGGAGCGGATGCAGCTGGAGCTGGACCAGCTCCGGGGCCGCCCCGGCTCCTCCTACTCCAGGTACCCCCCAAAAACCCCAAAAATAACCCCAAAACCACCCTAAAATAACCCTAAAAATAACCCAAAATTAACACAAAAAAACCCCCAAAACCCCCCAAAAAAATGCAAATAACTCCCGAAAATAATCCCCAAAATAACCCAAAAATCACCCCCCAAAACCCACCAAAAATAACCGCAAAAGTCCCCAAAAATAACCCCAAAATAACCCAAAAATAACCTAAAACCCCCAAAATAACCCCCAAAATAAGCCCCCAACTAACCCCCAAAATAAGCCCCAAAATAACCCCAAAATAACCCAAAAATAACCTAAAACCCCCCAAAATTACCCTCAAAACAACCCCAAAAATAACTGTAAAAGTCCCCAAAAATAACCCCCAAAATTACCCAAAAATAACCTAAAAAAAAAACCCCAAAAACCAAAATTGACCCCCAAAATTACCACAAAAATAATGGCAAAATAACTCCCCAAAATAACCCAAAAATAACCCCCCAAAATAACCCAAAAATAACCTAAAAACCCCCAAAATAACCCCCAAAATAAGCCCCCAACTAACCCCCAAAATAAGCCCCAAAATAACCCCAAAAATAACCTAAAACCCCCCAAAATTACCCTCAAAATAACCCAAAAATAACCTCAAACACCCCAAAATAAGGCCCAAAATAACCCCAAAAATAACCTAAAAAAAACCCCCAAAAACCAAAATTGACCCCCAAAATTACCACAAAAATAATGGCAAAATAACTCCCTAAAATAACCCAAAAAATAACCCCCAAAATAACCCAAAAATAACCTAAAAACCCCCAAAATAACCCCCAAATTAAGCCCCCAACTAACCCCCAAAATAAGCCCCAAAATAACCCCAAAATAACCCAAAAGTAACCTAAAACCCCCCAAAATTACCCTCAAAATAACCCCAAAAATAACCTAAAACACCCCAAAATAAGGCCCAAAATAACCCCCAAAAATAACCTAAAAAAAAACCCCAAAAACCAAAATTGACCCCCAAAATTACCACAAAAATAATGGCAAAATAACTCCCCAAAATAACCCAAAAAAGAACCCCCAAAATAACCCAAAAATAACGTAAAAACCTCAAAAATAACCCCGAAAATAAGCCCCCAACTAACCCCCAAAATAAGCCCCAAAATAACCCCAAAATAACCTAAAACCCCCCAAAATTACCCCCAAAAATAACCCCAAAAATAACCTAAAACACCCCAAAATAAGGCCCAAAATAACCCCCAAAAATAACCTTAAAAAAACCCCCAAAAACCAAAATTGACCCCCAAAATTACCACAAAAATAATGGCAAAATAACTCCCCAAAATCACCCAAAAATAACCCAAAAATACCTCCCCAAACCCCTCCAAAATAACTTTATAAACCAAAAAAAGAAACCCCAAAATATGACCCCCAAAATAATCCCCAAAATTCACCAAATCCCCCCCAAATAACACCAAAAATAACCCTAAAAAACCCAGAAATAAGCCAAAAAACCCCAAAATAACCCCCAAAATAACCCCAAAAAATAACCCCAAAAAATAACCCCAAAAAATAACCTCAAAAATAACCTCAAAAAATAACCCCAAAAAATAACCCCAAAAATAACCCCCAAAATAAACCCAAAAAATAACCCCAAAAATAACCAAAAAAAATAACCCCAAAAAATAACCCCAAAAAATAACCCCAAAAATAACCAAAAAAAATACCCCAAAACCCCCCAAACCCCCCAAAAATATCCCCAAAACAACCTAAAAACCCCCAAAATAACCCCAGAAACCCCCCCCAAAATCCCCTAAATTCCCCCCAAATTCCCCCAAATCCCCCCAGAACCCCCGAAAAACTGCCCCAAACCCCCCCCAAACCCCAAATCCCCCCCAAAATCCCCCCAAACCCCCCCTGAAATCCCCCCAAATCTCCCAAAATCCCCCTCGAACTCCCCCCAAACCCCAAAAATGCCCCCAAATCCCCCCCAATTTTCCCCACCTCCCTGACATGACCCCGGGTGTCCCAGGGTGTCCCCGAGGGTCCCTGGGGGTCTCTGGGGGTCACCGAGGGTCCCTGGGTGTCCCTGAGGGTCTCTGGGTCTCTCTGGGTCTCTCTGGGTGTCCCCGAGGGTCTTTGGGTCTTTCCGGGGGTCTCTGGGTGTCCCCGGAGTTCCCTGAATGTCCCCGGGGGTCCTGGGTCTCTCTTGGTGTCCCCGGGTGTCCCCGGGTCTCTCTGGGTACCCCTGGGTGTCCCCGAGTGTCCCCGGCTGTCCCTGGCTGTCCCTGAGGGTCCCCGAGTGTCCCCGGGTCTCTCCTGGTGTCCCCGAGTGTCCCCGGCTGTCCCTGGGTGTCCCCGGGTGTCCCTGAGGGTCTCTGGGTGTCCCCGAGTGTCCCCGGGGTCTCTCCTGGTGTCCCCGAGTGTCCCCGGGTCTCTCTGGGGTCTCTCTGATTCTCTCCTGGTGTCCCCGGCTGTCCCTGAGTGTCCCTGGCTCTCTCTGGGTGTCCCCGGGTGTCCCCCGGGTGTCCCTGTGTCTCTCCTGGTGTCCCCGGCTGTCCCTGGCTCTCTCTGGCTGTCCCCGGGGGTCCCTGAGGGTCTCTGGTGTCCCCTGGTGTCCCCTGGTGTCCCCGGGTGTCCCTGAGGGTCCCCAAGGGTATCTCCTGGGGTCCCCGAGTGTCCCCATGTCTCTCTGGGTGTCCCCGAGTGTCCCCGTGTCTCTCCTGGTGTCCCCGGCTGTCCCCGGCTCTCTCTGAGTGTCCCCGGGGGTCCCCGGGTGTCCCCTGTGTCCCCGGGTGTCCCTGAGGGTCTCTGGGTGTCCCCGGCTGTCCCTGGGTGTCCCCGTGTGTCCCCTGGTGTCCCCAAGTTTCTCCGTGTATATCCTGGTGTCCCCGGGTGTCCCCGAATGTCCCTGGGTGTCCCTGAGGGTCCCCAAGGGTCTCTCCTGGTGTCCCCTGGGTGTCCCCGGGTGTCCCTGGCTCTCTCTGGGTGTCCCCGGCTGTCCCTGAGGGTCTCTGGTGTCCCCGTGTGTGTCCCCCGAGTGTCCCCAAGTGTCCCCGGGGGTCTCTGGGTCTCTCTGGGTGTCCCGAGGGTCTCTCTGGGTGTCCCCAGCTGTCCCTGAGGGTCTCTGGGTGTCCCTGGCTGTCCCCGGGTGTCCCCGAGTGTCCCCGGGTGTCCCCTGGTGTCCCCGGGTGTCCCCGCCTGTCCCCGGTTGTCCCCGGCTGTCCCTGGCTGTCCCTGAGGGTCCCCGAGTGTCCCCGGATCTCTCTTGGTGTCCCCGAGTGTCCCCGGGTGTCCCCGGGGGTCCCTGGCTCTATCTGGGTGTCCCTGGCTGTCCCCGGTGTCCCTGGGTCTCTCTGGGTGTCCCCGGCTGTCCCTGGGTGTCCCTGGCTCTCTCTGGTGTCCCCGAGTGTCCCCTGGTGTCCCCTGTGTCCCCGTGTGTCCCCGAGTGTCCCCGGCTGTCCCTGGCTCTCTCTGGCTGTCCCCGGGTGTCCCTGAGGGTCCCCCGGCTGTCCCTGGGTCTCTCTGGGTGTCCCCCTGTGTCCCCGTGTGTCCCCGTGTGTCCCCTGGTGTCCCCGTGTGTCCCCTGGTGTCCCCGGTGCCGCCCCCCCCACGGCTGTCCCTGTGTCCCAGGTCCCTCCCTGGCAGTGCCCTGGAGCTGCGGCACCCCCAGAGCCCCCTCGGGGGGACCCCCCCGGAGCCCCACGGGCCCCCCCCGCAGGGCCAGGAAGGGGCGCTGGGCCCCCCCCAAGGAGGAGGTGGGGAAATTTGGGGGGAATTTGGGGAAATTTGGGGAAATTTGGGGAAATTTGGGGATTTTGGGGGGAATTTGGGGGAAATTGGGGGAATTTGGGGGGAAATTGGGGATTTTGGGGGAATTTGGGGAGGGGTCCCAGGGGGTTTGGGGGGAAATTTGTGGGAAATTTGGGGAAATTTGGGGGAATTTGGGGGGAAATGTGGGGGAATTTGGGGAATTTGGGGGGCAATTGGGGGAAAATTTGGGGGAAATTTTGGGGGGATTTGGGGAGAATTGGGGGAAATTGGGGGGGGAAATTGGGGGGAATTTGGGGAAATTTGGGGAGGGATCCCGGGGGGGTTTGGGGGGAAATTGGGGGAAATTTGGGGGGGAATTGGGGGAAATTGGGGGGAATTTGGGGGAAATCTGGGGGAAATTTGGGGGAAAATTGGGGGAATTTGGGGGAAATCTGGGGGAAATTTGGGGGAATTTGGGGGAAATTGGGGAAAATTTGGGGGAAATTTGGGGGGGAAACTGGGGGGAATTTGGGGGAATTTGGGGGGATTTGAGAAATTTGGGGGGAAATTGGGGGAAATTTGGGGGGAAATTTGGGGGAAAATTGGGGGGGAAACTGGGGAGAATTGGGGGGAAATTGGAGAAATTTGGAGGGAAATTTGGGGGAAATTGGGGGGGAAATTGGGGGGGGGAATTTGGGGAGGGGTCCCAGGGGGGTTTTGGGGAGAATTTGAGGGAAATCTGGGGAAATTTGGGGGGAATTGGGGAAAATTTGGGGGAAATTTGGGGAGGGGTCCCAGGGGGGTTTGGGGGGAAATTTGGGGAAATTGGGGGTGAAATTTGGGGGAATTTGGGGTAATTTGGGGAAATTGGGGGGAATTTGGAGGGAATTTGGGGAAAATTGGGGAAAATTTGGGGAAATTTGGGGGAAATTGGGGGGAAATTTGTGGGAAATTTGGGGGAATTTGGGAGGTATTTGGGGGAAATTTGGGGGAAATTGGGGAAAATTTGGGGGGGGAAATTGGGGCGAAATTGGGGGATTTGGGGGGGGGGGATTTTGGGGGAAATTTGGGGATTTTGGGGGGTCCTGGGGGGATTTTGGGATGGATTTCAGGAAATTTGGGGGGCGGGGATTTGGGGGAAATTGGGGGGAAAATTGGGGGGGAAATTGGGGGATTTTGGGGGGTCCTGGGGTGGAATTTCGGGGTAGAATTTGGGGTGGTTTTGGTGGAATTTTGGGGCATTTTAGGATGGAACTTTGGGGATTTTAGGGTGGAATTTTGGGGCAGTTTTGGGGCTGGAATTTCGGGGGGGATTTTCGGGATGGAATTTCGGGGTGGGATTTTTTGGGTATTTTTGAGTGGAATTTCGGCCATTTTAGGGTGGAATTCTGGAGCATTTTGGGGCTGGAATTTCGGGGTTGGATTTTTTTTGCAGGGTTATTTTTGAGCGCAATTCCGCCCCTTTCCGGGCTGGAATTTCGACTCTTTCTGTGCCGCATTTTGCCCCCCCCCAATTTCGGGGCAAACTCGGCGCGTTCGGATTCTTATTTTATTTTATTTTATTTTATTTTATTTTATTTTATTTTATTTTATTTTAATTTATTTTATTTTATTTTATTTTATTTTATTTTATTTTAATTTAATTTAATTTAATTTTATTTTATTTTATTTTTATTTTATTTTATTTTATTTTATTTTATTTTATTTTATTTTATTTTATTTTAATTTTATTTTATTTTATTTCATTTCATTTCATTGCATTTTACTTTTATTTTATTTTATTTTATTTTATTTTATTTTATTTTATTTTCATTTTATTTTATTTCATTTTATTTCATTTAATTTTCATTTTATTTCATTTTATTTAATTTTCATTTTATTTTATTTTATTTTAATTTAATTTAATTTAATTTAAATTTATTTTATTTTATTTTATTTTATTTCATTTCATTTTATTTTATTTTACTTTATTTTATATATTTTTTTTAAATTTTATTTTAATTTAATTTAATTTTAATTTTAATTTTATTTTATTTTATTTTATTTTATTTTATTTTAATTTAATTTAATTTAATGTTACTTTATTTCATTTCATTACATTTTATTTTATTTTCTATTTTATTTTATATTTTTTTAAATTTTATTTTAATTTAATTTAATTTAATTTTAATTTAATTTAATTTAAATTTAATTTAATTTCACTTTATTTTATTTTATTTTATTTTACTTTATTTTATTTTATTTTATTTCATTTAATTTCATTTTATTTTATTTCATTAATTTTATTTTATTTTATTTTATTTTATTTCATTTTATTTTTATTTTATTTTATTTCATTTTATTTTATTTTTATTTTATTTTATTTTATTTTATTTTATTTTATGTTATTTTATTTTTATTTTATTTTAATTTAATTTAACTTAATTTAATTTAATTTAATTTAAATTTAATTTAATTTAATTTTATTTTATTTTATTTCATTTCATTTCATTTTATTTTTATTTTATTTTATTTTATTTTATATTTTATTCTATATTTTATTTTTATTTTATTTTATTTTATTTTAATTTAATTTAATTTAATTTTACTTTATTTCATTTCATTTCATTCCATTTTATTTTATTTTATATTTTATTTTATATTTTTTTTTATTTTATTTTAATTTAATTTAATTTTAATTTTAATTTAATTTAATTTAATTTCATTTTATTTCATTTTATTTTATTTTATTTTATTTTATTTTATTTTCATTTTATTTTATTTCATCATTTCATTTCATTTCATTTCATTTCATTTTATTTTATTTTATTTTATTTTATTTTATTTTATTTTATTTTATTTTATTTTATTTCATTTCATTTTAATTTTATTTTATTTTATTTTATTTTATTTTATTTTATTTTATTTTATTTTATTTCCTATGCGGGGCTCTCTCCCATCCCCAGCAGTGGCAGCGGGGGGGGCTCCCCCCCGAGGCTCCCCCCGAGGGCTCGGACGAGGAGGAGCCCAGGGGGGGGGTCCCGGACGGACGGACGGACGGACAGACGGACGGACAGGCGGACGGACAGGCGGACGGACAGACGGACGTGCAGACGCTGGCGTTCATGCTGCAGGAGCAGCTCGAGGCCATCAACAAGGAGATCAAGTCAGTGACGCCCCCGAAAAATCGAAATTTGGGGACCCAAAAACCCCCCCAAAAAAACCCCAATCCGAGAACCCCAAAAAAACCCCAAAAAACCCCCCAAAAACCCCAAAAAAACCCCCAAAAAAACCCCCAAAATCCAATTTTTTCCCCCAAAATCCCGAGATTTTGCCCCAAAATTCGGCTCCAGAAGCATCAAAAATGGATCAAGTCAGTGACACCCCCGAAATCAAACTTTGGGGACCCAAACCCCCCCCCCCCCAAAAAACCCCAATCCGAGAACCCCAAAAAACCCCAAAAATCCCAATTTTTACCCCAAAATCCCATTTTTTTTCCGGGGTTTTGGCCAAATTTGGGTTAGAAAATTGGAATTTTTGGGGTTTTTTTGGGGTTTTTTGGGGGTTTTTTTGGGGGTTTTTTTTGGGTTTTTTTGGGATTTTTGGTTTCCCCATTTTGGGGACCCCTCCCCAAATTTTTTGGGGCCCCCCGGGGGGCGATCTAGGAACAAATTTTAGGTCATTTTGGGCCAGAAATGGAGGATTTGGACCGAATTTTTTGGGGTTTTTTGGGGATTTTTGGGGATTTTCGGGACCCCCCTATTTTGGGGACCCCCTCCCCATTTCGGGGACCCCCTCCCCATTTTGGGGACCCCTCCCCAATTTATTTTTGGGGCTCCCCCAGGGCCGATTTAGGAACAAATTTGGGGGAGTTTTAGGTCCTTTTGGGCCAGAAATGGAGGATTTGGACCGAATTTTTGGGGGTTTTTTGGGGGTTTTTGGGGATTTTCGGGACCCCCCCTATTTTGGGGACCCCCTCTCCAAATTTTGGGGGACCCCTCCCCAATTTATTTTGGGGTTCCCTGGGGGCGATCTAGGAACAAATTTTAGGTCCTTTTGGGCCAGAAATGGAGGATTTGGACCGAATTTTTGGGGATTTTTTTGGGATTTTTGGGATTTTCGGGACCCCCCTATTTTGGGGACCCCTCCCCATTTTGGGGACCCCTCCCCAATTTAATTTTGGGGCTCCCCCGGGGCCGATTTAGGAACAAATTTGGGGGACTTTTAGGTCATTTTGGGCTAGAAATGGAGGATTTGGACCGAATTTTTTGGGATTTTTTGGGGTTTTCGGGACCCCCTCATTTTGGGGACCCCTCCCCCATTTTGGGGACCCCCTCCCCAAATTTTGTGGACCCCTCCCCAAATTTTTTGGGGCTCCCCGGGGGGCGATCTAGGAACAAATTTTAGATCATTTTGGGCCAGAAATGGAGGATTTGGACCGAATTTTTGGGGATTTTTTGGGGATTTTTGGGGGTTTTTGGGGTTCCCCCATTTTGGGGCCCCCTCCCTCATTTTGTGGACCCCTCCCCAATTTAATTTGGGGCTCCCCCAGGGCCGATTTAGGAACAAATTTGGGGGAGTTTTAGGTCATTTTGGGCCAGAAATGGAGGATTTGGACCGAATTTTTGGGGGATTTTTGGGGGTTTTTTTGGGATTTTCGGCCCCCCCCTATTTTGGGGACCCCTCCCCATTTTGGGGACCCCCTCCCCAAATTTTGGGGACCCCTCCCCAAATTTTTTGGGGCTCCCCCAGGGGCGATCTAGGAACAAATTTTAGGTCCTTTTGGGCCAGAAATGGAGGATTTGGACCGAATTTTTTGGGGATTTTTTTGGGATTTTTGGGGTTTTTTGGGACCCCCCTATTTTGGGGACCCCTCCCCATTTTGGAGACCCCTCCCCAATTTATTTTTGGGGCTCCTCCAAGTTGATTCGGAAGGAGAAAAATCACGAAATTTCCGGGGTTTTGGCCATATTTGGGTTAGAAAATCGGAATTTTTGGGGGTTTTTTTGGGGATTTTCGGGACCCCTCATTTTGGGGACCCCCTCCCCATTTTGGGGACCCCTCCCCAAATTTTGGGGACCCCTCCCCAATTTAATTTTGGGGTTCCCCGGGGCCAATTTAGGAACAAATTTTGGGGAATTTTAGATCATTTTGGGTTACAAATGGAGGATTTGGACCGAATTTTTGGGGGATTTTTTGGGGTTTTCGGGACCCCCCCTATTTTGGGGACCCCCTCCCCATTTTGGGGACCCCTCCCCAATTTATTTTTGGGACTCCCCCAGGGCCGATTTAGGAACAAATTTGGGGGAGTTTTAGATCATTTTGGGCCAGAAATGGAGGATTTGGACCGAATTTTTTGGGGTTTTTTGGGTTTTTTTGGGGATTTTC